GTTGCCATTCGATATTTGAGAGAGAGAGAGAGAGAGAGAGAGAGAGAGATTAGTAAGTATAAAGCATATGAAAAGTTTTTCAGGGAGTGGGAAGGGATTACTTGTTTCTTTCAACTTTCTGTTCCCATAGAAAATACTTCATCCTCATTTATCACTACTCCGCCTCTCCCTGCCCCAAATGCCACAATTACTGGTTTTTAATGATAACAATAGCTACTAAACCCACATTAGTTTAGTCCATCACTTCACTTCAAACTACTCCCAAAATATTATCATGAACAATCCCAATCCCCAAATCAGTCTAAATAAAAAGGAGACGCATATGACCTTAGTAATCAAAAGGAAGACAGACAGTGAAGTGCGACTGAAAGTATGTGAGGTTATCCAAGTTATGAAAATATGATTATCAAGAGCAATTGGGACACATTTCAATCTCTTGATATAAAAGAAGATATGACTCATTTGTGGCCACAGCTGGTATATCTTTGTGATCAACTTGCTATTTTGCAGCAAATGAGCAACCTTTTGTAAATCCATACACATCTATTGTATGGTAAGTGATGCCTTAAGGGAAAGAAAGAAAAAAAAAAAAAAAAAAGTACTCAGAAAGATCAAAAGTCATTTCTGTTCCTTCCTGCCCACAAAACACACAGAAGACTTGATAAGTACCATGACTTTAAAACCACAAGAAAACCAATGGCAACTATCTCAGATTTCTACATGGCAGTAGGAAGATCACCTGATTCTTGTAGTTCCAAATCCTACATTTGACAGCATACTTTTAAATCAGCATATCAGAAGTCTCTGTGCTAATGCATTGCTCGAGGAGGAGGAAATCTGATACAAACCTAGAATTACAAACTTAGTAAAATCTTCAGTCTATTATGGAGGACCATTAGTGCAATATACAAGAGACACTTCCCAAGGGATCTGAAGAGAAACAGTATTTATGAGAAGAAATTCAAATCATTTATTGTTTTCCAATTGTCAAAATTCCTATACTGCTAAGAATGAGGGACAAGGAACTAAATCCAGAGAACGAGCTCTCCAAAGCCTGGCTATATTCAACACAAATGTACACAACCTTATTATCATCAAAGGGTTCAAGATCATTTAAAAGGCAATTTTTTCTGTCTGCAATACTGTATCATGCCAACAAACCAAGATACTTAGGGTACATTTATCTTTTATCATGTCCTTTCATCTTTTGTTCTTTTGGTAACAAGGCCAAATCGGTGTAGGATTTCAAAAGAGAAATACTGCTTTCTTATTCACTTCTAATTTTCCATTTTAACATATCAGCTTGGAAATAGCCACTCCACACACGTATACCTACAAAGCAAATCCTGTTCATTTCACAAAGCTCTGCTGTAGCCTTCCTGGCCACCTTGATCTGGAATTTCATAGGCACACATTTTTGAAATGAACAAAAAGGTGTATAACTGTAATACAGGAATCATCTGTCACAATCACATCTCATTATTCCTATTGAAATTCCTGTGGGAAAACAGGTACAAGTAAAACCGTGAAGACCAGTTCCTACATAAGGCTAGGTGTTTAACTTAATATGGAGTAGATCTGAAACCGGCACTCTGTATGAGACTTCTCTGCATCTTAAACATACCGCCACTGTTATGTAGCCTTTCAAATGCACCACATCTTGTACCTTAATCTTTTCTGAAAAGATTCTCTCTCTGCCTTCAGGATTGTAGCTAAAGGCTTCAGACTCTAAGGTACTTTGCTCACTTTCTGGATGCGAAATCAGCATCTCCTCTTAGTGGTCTCTCACCTGTGGTGAAAACTAGGACTTAATACATCTTTTTAATGCAAAAGCACGATATTGAATCGCTGCAACAAACCATAAGAGAAGTCTGTCCTGGTGTTTATAAATCCTATGTAAAAGATGACCAAAGCAAACTATGTTTACCTCAAGCAGCAGACTAAGCTTACCTTTGTGTTGAGTACAGATCTCATCCTTAAAAGAAAAATCTAGCTGTCCCCTGTGTATGTGCTTTAGCCCCTCCTGATCTTTTGCCCAGCCTATGCAGAGACAAATGCTCTGCCTGCAATTCAGTTGTGAGCATCACAGGGTAACACCCTGCCTCCTAAATGTTTGGTTGAGAAAAGAGTATCTGGATACATCTCATGTTCTTATGGTATATCCTCTAGCTTCAAGTCTAGTGATTTCTCTGCAGATGCACAATAAACTTCTCAATATCTCTGCTAACACATCATATTTATGTTGTATCTCAGGTAATTAAAAATATATCATGCACACAAATTACACATAAAAGCCTATTAAGTGGCATGTATGACTTCTGAACATCAGGAAAACAAGCTAGTTGTACTTGTGAATGGTCTGTGATCAAGTCTTCTACAAGACTTGAGCAGCATACAGTTCTGTATCTTCCAACAGTGTGCTGCCTACACATTTATCTCTGCTTTCAATTTCCTGTACTGATGTAGTTACCTACAAGGCAATGCATGAGGATGGGAAGGTCAAATCCATCTATCCAATCAATCTTAGCAATTAAAAAGATATTTGACATCAATGCATTGCTTGCTGAGGGCTATGTATACACAAAGGAGGGGGAAAAGGATGGGGGGGAAAAAAGAAGGAAGCAAATGATATGGAAACATCCTGGGTAGAAATTGAGACATCTTCTTCAGCCAAGATTCAGTCTCTCTGATGTTACTCCTTCTCAAAGACACTGCACAGTCTTATCCAACCTCTGATGACTCCCTACGGAGTGCTCTACCTGCCCCATGTAATGGTGCCAAATGACCGTTCTCTTCCCACCCTCTATTTTCCCCTAGTTTTCTGCAGATTGGAGTCTGCTGTGGATTAGGAAATACTCCTGTACAAGAGTGATGCAGTGGAAAAAAGTCAAGCTCCCAGTATGCCTCTGCCCCTAAAACCCTAACCGATGTAGTCATTAGATGGTCAATGCTGAATTCACATTATAAAAATCAATGGAAACTGAGCCTAGAGAGTGGCTAATTAAGTATCCTAGCTTTACTTCTCTCTCATTTCATAACAGGAGAGCTCTAAAACCAAGAACTTTGGCATCCATTCAATACCTTCTCTCATGTTTTTACTTGCAACAATGTCAGGCTTGCATGTGCACTGAGGTGTGCAGACACAGGTGTGACATTCTGAGTCCTTACTGGAAAACTATATCCCTTAAAAGCACAACATTCACTCAAGCAAAGCATCAGGAAAGCATCCACACTGGAGTCAGAATCTGAAGGCAGCTACTGGAGGCTTTCATCTTCTGCATGTATCAGCAGATTACAGAAGAAAAATCTAAGAAATAAAAGGGCAATTCGGAAACAGGTAAATTTATGAGGGGAAATATGCAAATATGCATATCCTTTGCTGTTTGTTTATCAGTAACTTTACAGCCTAGAGCACCTCAAGCAACACTCCAGATAACATGGTAAGTACTGAAGGCTACAAACTCACCACATCATTTTGTTGTTCTTAAAATTCTGTATTAGGATTCCAACTAGAAGCTTTATATTAGGATTCCAACTAGAAGCTTTAGAACAAAAAAAAATTTTTAAGCAAATTTACAAATAATAAAGTAACTCATATCAACCAGTTGTGTCTCAGTCCAATTCAGTGCATTAACAAGAATCTCTCTTAAACAACTACTACAGCTTTCTTTCCATTAGAGCCACTAAAGCTAAATAGGGAAGGGTAGACAGCTACTTAACACATCAGTGAAGTGGCATTAGGTTCAAGCAAACGAGCTCTCCTTCCTCCCTTTCAAACGCTCTGGCACAGTTGCAAAAGGTTTTGCCTTGGTCTCATGTGACCGAATTACTCACCTTCCCCATCAGGGCTCATATTTTCATAGGAATCCCAGCGTATCAGTGGGTCTGAGGTATTGTAATCAACTATCACTCCATGGTCATTCTGAAGGTGTTCACATCCTAAAAAATAAACATCTGTTTGAGACCAAAAATTATCATAGCCACATTTGTAATGATATATACGCACATATGTATGTGGCCTTCTGACAGAAGTTTGCTCCCCAAACTGCAATACCATATTCTGAAATGTAAGAAGCAGCAATAGGGCAAGAAAGGTTATCTAAACCAGCTAAAAAAAGCTTAGTTTTATGTTTCATTACAGAAGGTACAAGCAGAGAATTTTATCTTGAGCTTCTTGATTATGATATAGCTCTGATAACTTGGATCAGCCCCTAAACACGACTAACACAGATGATCCACCCAGCCCTATAGGCAGGCACGATAAAACAAATAGCTTTTCAGAATGAAACCACAAGTATCTATAAAGAGATGGTACTAAAGGAATGATAAAATAAGACTGTTAGAGATTATCATCCTAAACAACTTACCACTAAAGATGAATAGGGAGAGCTGAAAACTGCTACTCCGTGTCCCTCCCAGCTCCCCTAAGGTGCCAACTATGCTGTTTCACCCATTCTCCGGCAGAATCTGAGATGGGGCGGCTTGCCTTCAATGTGTTTGGCCACGCTTAAGTACGCTCTGCCAAACATACCTGGAATTTTCAGCAGTAACCATGTTTTTGTGCCCTTAACGAGGCATAAGGTAATATTCAGCTTTTAAATGTATACCGTGAGGAATTTAGGTGTGGTCCAGTGATTCAAAAGCAAAGCACAGGCATCAAGAACTCATGACCTTGGACTTGGCTTTGACACTGATAGAAATCAAATCAGCTTTCTGCCTTTGCTCCTCTATCTCAATTAGGGAACAAAGAAATCCTCAGTTATCAACTCTTTGGCTGTGTCTGGAGAAGCAAGTCCTATTATAAATTGTTCTAAAGCAGCAAAGTGTTAATGCATATGCTGTGACTTTCAAAACAAGGATAGTTAAAATTAGAAGGACAAGAATGCTATGGTCCTGTACCTTTATATGCAGGCAGAAAAAAGCCATCTGTAGAGAGTTTCTGTGATGACGTTTGTCACAAGACAGTTTTATGAAGTTTGTTACCTAAATATTTAGGTGTCTCATCTTCTTGGCAAGTGCATTCTTTCTTAAAAACTGTATCACAATCAGTTATTTTCTAGAATACTGTGTCCAGTTTCGAGCTACACAATACAAGAAAGATATGAATAAAATGAAGCAAGTTCAGGGGAGTGTGACCAGGGTGGTCAGGACTGAAGGACTTGCCCTGTGAGGAAAGGCTGAGGGACCAGGGCTTCTTCAGTCTGGAGATGAGATGGTCTTGGGGGGGACCTGACAGCAGCCCCCCAGAGGCCATGGAGGAGACAGAGCCAAGTGGAAGGACAACAAGGAACAGGCATAAATTCAATCTAGAGAAGTTTAGAGTCAATAGAAGGAAAAAATAAATCCACTGTGAGGACAGTCAGACATTGGAACAGTCCACCCATTGAGGCTGTGAAGTCTCCATCCTTGGAGGTTTTCAAGATTTGACTGTACAAAGCTCTGGGCAACCTGGTTCCATCTCACAGATGACCCTGCTTTCAGCAGGAGGATGGACTAGAGATACCCTGCAGTTATTCTATGATTCTATAATATTTTCAGATGTGGAAAAGTCATTCTGCAGAAATTGTAAATAAATATTTAAAAGTGAACTCTTCTTCCTAGCCAGTTAATCCCTTAGATAGCAACTGGAATACAAATTTCCAATTAGTTAGAACCTTACTTTCCAACAACTTGGAGCCTGCTAAAAACCACACCTCTTATTTGCCATCTAAAGAAGGGAGATTTGAAAAAATTTTGATCCTTTTTCAGACACTTCAGCTAGCCTCTCTTCAAGCATTTACTATCCAGAAATGTTTAGAACAAGCTGGACAAATTTATTTATAAAACTGTTTTTCTTATACGGCTTTCCAACAGGCTAAGTGAGATCTTCGTGTTCACCTGGACAGAATCCAACTTCTTACTGGCTGGCTAAAGAAGGGAGATTTGAAAAAATTTTGATCCTTTTTCAGACACTTCAGCTAGCCTCTCTTCAAGCATTTACTATCCAGAAATGTTTAGAACAAGCTGGACAAATTTATTTATAAAACTGTTTTTCTTATACGGCTTTCCAACAGGCTAAGTGAGATCTTCGTGTTCACCTGGACAGAATCCAACTTCTTACTGGCTGGTACTACAAGTTTCTAAGTGATCAAACTGGTGGAAAAAAAAAGAAAAGGAAAACATGCAATTCACAGGACACTGAATGGAATATGTATGAGACAGTTAAGAATATTTGGTTTTCATTCAGTCTCAGGCAGAATCCATTCTTTTTGGGACACCATAAAATGAGTCAGAACACATCCATTAACAGAATTAAACTGCAATATAAAGCATGACCTTAAGTTCTTAGTGCAGGTCGTAATTATCTATGATCTTAGACATATTACAATAGAATTCTGGAGGCATACAGGATATACCCTACAAGCCAACTTCAGAGCAGAAGCATTTCCAACAAAACTATAGCTGTATCTCTTTATGCTAAACTGAAGACAGTCCAAACTCCACCACTGCAAACATAATCAGTTATGACAACATCCAGAAAAGGTTATGGGATAGGCCACTGCTGTCACTTATGCCAGGCCAAACTACCTATACTACACTTGTTTTACACAGATATACAAATGTTTTCTACTAGTCATCAGCAACTGTTCTGGTACAGTCTTAAAACAAAATCTGATCACTCCTATACTGATGTAAATGCAGAGTCTTCATTAATTTTTTTCAAATTTAAACCAGTAACTATATTGCGTATTTTAACAGTAAAGTTGAATTTCAGATCTTCTACAAGAAAAGTAGAAGAGAAGAGGAAAAAAGGATTTTTTTTAAAAATGTACATTTCAATGTGGTTTATTTTCAAACTAAGCATATTTTTTTCTTCTGTATACTCACCTTGAATTTTCTCTGGAGTTCCTGAAAACACTAATTCCACTTTGCCGTAATCAGGGAAACGGTCATCTGAAAACAAAGGATAGTATTTCAGCAAGCTATCTCCCAGGAAAGCAGTTCCAAGGCACTCAGAAATCAGGATTCTCTACAGCTATTAATACACGTACCCTCGTCACTCTTCCCTTCTCACTTGCAGTTTAGCGATTTGCTTCTGTAAGAGCCACATTCTTTGCCCCACACATTCTCCAGAAAAGACCACGGAAGTGTCAGCTGGAGTTCTGTTTACTTCCAAGAACAGTCAAAAGCAGAAGAGATGTACAGTTCCCAAACCTCTCTTTAGACAGACATGGCTGGCTTTGGCTTTTAAAGGAAAACACACCCAGGAGCAAACTAAAATTGTTCTTTATATTGGCTAAACTGCAATACTTGACCACAAAAGTTTTGTGTAGCCATATGTTGCAGGAAAATATGTTTGATTTTAGTTTGCTAGTTACATAGGGTGAGGGAGTTACAGTCCTTCATATAAGCATAAAAATAAAACTGAAGTAGTAATTTGGAAAATACAGAGACTAGCACAACACATTTTCAAATATATCTGAAAACTTTGCCTCCATTTTTGGATATTCTGAAGCATATTAAAAGATCTCCATACTCAAGCAGACTAGGTCACAAACACAGTATCAGACTTTGTGACTGTTTTCATCAGCCAAAAAAGGGATCGGCTTAGCTCATCTTATTTCCTGTAATGGTGACTAACAGAGTCACCATTTTAAACAAATGTCTGTTGTTTTTACAAATGTGAGAGGAGGCAATAAGGCCTATATAGGAGTATCTGAATTATTTTGACAAGTTAACTCACTTGAAGAGCTTTTCTTCTCATTGGGGGTTTACCTGTGTTATGTGCTATGAGTTAACTAATAGAAAGCAGTCTCCCTTTCCCTAAAAATAGGGATGGAAAAAAAAAAAAAGAATCCTTTTGAAAACAGGTCCTGAAGATGATCATCACATGCACAGGCACACACATGCACCCCCGCACACATACGCATCCAACTAACCACAGAAGGCAAGTACCTTTGTTGGCATTGTCCAAATCCTCTTTGCCAAACACCAGGCCATGTCCTTGAATAGCTCCAGTGTGAAACTGAAGGCGAAAAACCACATCACGAGTAGCTGACCGGTATTTTTTGTGATAACACTTCAGCTAGAGAGAAAAACATGTCGGGAAGTAATTTCTTATGCATCTGAACAAACGTGTGCATATGCATTAGTTGCTAAGTAAAGCAGCCACAGCGCAATTTACTGCAGACACCTCTGATGTTGTAACAAGCAGGGGATGCATTATTCAATCCTTTAAAATTATACAGGCCCAAGGCAAGATAGTTCTGGATGTGTAAAAATAATAATTACTATTTTCATCACTATCAGTCACCAATCAGTAGACTATGATTCAGAATCACAACATTTGTCAGTACAATGTTGGAATGCTGACTTGTATCCATACTTCTTCATAGTACCAAATTAATGTAAAACTGAATTACAGCACACCCATTTCAAAATAACTGAAGAATATGCAGAGTTTTTAGAAGCAAGCCCGCAAGCTGATTACATCTATTTTAGGACTTTTTAAAAACCTAGTGATGATAGGACCTTGTTTTATTTTACTATGGGAAGTTGGTAGTAGTTTTGACACCTTGGCTAGAACAACACAGAACTCTCTAAAAATAATATCTAGTATGATTTTCAGCAGCTAAAGGTGAACACAATACACCCACTCTCTAACACCACCTTCCCTTAGACTAGACCTATGGATATTTTACCTACTAATTCTCTGAGTCAACTGTAATACAAAGCCACTCATCATTCTCACAGGAATACATAAAAATTTTGCTAACCTTAGTCACAGGACTGAAAATTTTGTGATATTATCCTGACGATATCAGGATTTTACGATAAAGATGTTACTGAAATGTATTAAAATGACAACAAAAATCACGTTTTTTTAAGGCAGACTGAGAAAAGTGTTCTAGACAGAAAATACTGAATAACTGAAGAGCAAACAGTTATTCAAACTGAAGTAATACAAGAAAGATGTAGGGGTTTAAGAGGGATGCTTCTGGAAGTTGGGATTAAAACATAGTTACGAAATTCTTCTCACTACAGGATTTGAAAAATCCAACATAAGCTGTTGCTCTCTACCCTTCATTATAGTAACTCCATGATGCCTTAAATTTCAGAAGTTAATCAGCACTGACCAAATACATGGCACATAGGACAACTTCTGAAATATTTCAGCCCATATACCAGAGATGGGGTTTTTTTCAGGTATTCTCTACGCAAACCACATATTCCTAACCCTTTATAAAGGCTGGGAGATGCTCTACACAAGTAAGCATTATTTTATCTGAAAGTAAGGATGTGGGGTTGTTTGTTTTTTAAAAGCGAATCCCCTATAGCATAGTGGTAATACCAGGTAAAATAGTATTTCCTTCTTATTTTAAACAGTGCTTTACACCCACTAAAATTAACATAGCGTACAAACCCCTACCTGTTGAAGGGATCTATTTCCTTTTAGTCCAACACAACTACCAGCACCATTTTGCTAGAACCACGGCCGTAAGTCAGTCCCTTAAATTACCGAAATATAAGGTAGGAGAAACAGTTAGACTGCTTGATTCAAGAATAAATAAACGCTCATTCTCCACTAAGCCCAGCAACTCTATGTAAAGGCAAAACACCATCATAAAGGATGAAAACTGCAAGTTTGCCCAGAAGTGAAAAATGGACAGAAAGGGGATTAAGCAAGCCCCTGATAAGAGATATTAGAACTAACCTGCTCCAAAACGTATCATCAGCCTGAAAGTAACTGAGTAACTACGATAATTCTATTCAATTATATTATGTGAGCAAAAAGAAGCTTGAAAAGACTTAAGAGCTTCTTTAAGTTTATGCACATTCCTCCACAATTTTGTGTTAAAACATTATCTTCTTTAGCTGTTTAAACAATCACATTATTTTTACATGTGGATCATACGTGAGAGTTTCTGAAGATGCAGATGACTAAATACCTGAACAACAGATTTTATCCTCTAACTTGTCAAGAGTTTTGGCTTCGCACACTTGCTGGATTTACTCAGAATCTACTGTCTTTTGCATAATTGTGTTTACAAAAATGCTGAATCTGGGTCAGTTCAGAGAACTATGTAGTTCCTGCTTTCTACTTTCTAATTCAAAGTAACAGGCTTGAATAATTTTCACTTAGCATATCCTAAACAACTTACTTGTACAGAACTGCAATTGTTTATGAAAATCTGGCCTTTCTTACAATCAGTAACAGTGTACATCTATACCCAGGATACTGAAAACATCTTCTAGTGCTCAATATACATAATAAGCTTTCAATGAAATCTAAGCGTAACTGAATTCTGACTCCACTACCTTCTGATGCCACATTCAAGAATTAATGCAAGCCACTATAATATGCTGGGAAATACCTATATGCATTTACAGATGTCAGTGCAGCTTTTCAACAGCTGTGGTTGTGCTGTATCACCACATACTATTTACATTGTGGTAACAAATTCTCTAAACCTAAGACAAGCAAGTCGTCTTTTTTTTAAACCCATGCACTTCAAGTGGTTAAACCTTTTGGAGTTGGAGGCTGAGCATCCTATAGATTTTCCTTTTTCCTGAAACCACGGATGTTTTTGTTTAGACATAGTTAAAAAATATTCAAAACTGAAGTGAAGTCTTTGTTTAGGAAATACTACCATGCTGAATAAGACACTGGCTTGCTCAGAAGAATTACCTCCAATAATAGCATGGAATTAATGAAGTTGATCTCTTTTAAAATGATGCAAGCATTACTGAAAAGCTATATGCTCATTTTTCATTTTAAACACATATTTGAGAGATACTGAATTTGTCTCAGACCAATTTCTTTTGTGATCTATTCCATTTCCTTAGGCAACAACAGTCATAGAATCATAGAATAGCTTGGATTGGAAGGGACCTCTAAAGGTCATCTAGTCCAACCCCCCTGCCGTGGGCAGCGACATCTTCAACTAGATCAGGTTGCTCAGAGCCCCGTCCAACCTGACCTGGAATGTTTCCAGGGATGGGGCA